GCAAGACTCGGAATAAAAATTAATAGCGAAAACACCAAAAGAGCTAAGACAGTGTACTTAAGGGGATTTAATAGAGAAATATATGCTTTATACACGCAGAAAGTTTCACAAAGAACGTCACTTTTAGAAATTTTTGGCAAATTTTGAAATGTGCCTTGCTGATTTTTAGTAGAGCGCGATTTCCAAGACTCGGAATAAAAATTAATAGCGAAAATACCAAAAGAGCTAAGACAGTGTACTTAAGGGTATTTAATAGAGAAATATATGCTTTAAATACCCAGAACGTTTAACAAAGAACGTCGCTTTTAGAAGTGTTTGGCAAATTTTGAAATGTGCCTTGCTGATTTTTAGTAGAGCGCGGTTTGCAAGACGGAATAAAAATTAATAGCGAAAACACCAAAAGAGCTTAGCAAGAGTGCTTAATGGAGCTAGGCAGATAAAAGTACGGTTTACATGCTGAAATTTTCTCTGAAACAATAGCATTTTCCTGCTATTGAATTTCTGCAAACACAATCAAAATAAATCGCTCAACCACTAAAAGAGGTAAAATCTCTTAATGGTTTTAGATAGGGCAAGAAAGAAGCATAGAAAATTGAGCAGTCGGCTCAAAAAACTTTGATTTGTGACCAAGCTTCACACAATTTACTGCTAATACTGCAGAAAACAAAATCCTTCTAGAACATAGTCGCGAACTGTATAAATCACCAGAATCTCTTATTGTCAAAGACAGGAACGTAATTCCTCACACACACACATATATTGTCTGGATTCAAATTTTCCAGCTCGCAGCGAACCTTTTTAGATTACACAGTGCGTGACAAATAGAACGAAACGTTTCACATTTTCCTTCTGGCTTGTCGTTAAAAGGAACATTGTTAACTTTTGCATTCTCTTTGAGCGTTTTCCCTCACGCCTTACAGACAATCGGCCTGTTTTCCCTGCAAAGGTGCGTTCACCGGGAAAACAAACCTGAACTCTGCATGTTTCAGGAAAATAGCAAAATGCTTGCTTAATATGGTTGAAAAATCCAAGTATTTTGCGGTCTTAGGGATGGCGCAGCTTCAATCACGCGAAATTAATAATGCATGAAGCATCAGCAGCAGCCAGCTTCTGAAAATGCAGATCTATTTTTAGGCGTGCAGCTTCGCAAAACATGCTCATTGTAACAGGAAGACGTTTTTCCTAATGATTCTGGTCGCAATGAGGAGATTCATCGTGCAAAGTCAGCTCGATACTACTCAAATTAATGAAGAAGTTGAGGGAAACATTCTTCGAAACCTTTAGTCAATTAAGTACAATTTCCCTTCAAAGGTGGGCTCGCTTAAGACAGGGATCGATCGCTCCAGTTTACGCCTTTGGAGTTGCAAAGCAAATATGTATTTTTGGATATTTACGTTTATACAGGGCGATGCAGCAGCGAGCAAAAAGTTGCAATCAATAATGCTAAATTGTTGCAAAAATTGACAAATCCACTCAAGAACGCATTATTTAGGTCAGAAAAAACATAGTCGTCACTGGTTTAGCAAAAAACGAATTGTACCGTTCTATTGCTGGTTCAATTGCTAACAAAAAAGCTCTCTTGATTTTTTTTGTATAAAGCCCCATTTTTGAGTAAAAAAATAAAAACCGTATTGAATCTTGGAATCCTCACACCAACAGTTATTTTAATCAGTTAGTTTGCGTACATCTGCAGATGGATGGAAACATTTATGCGAAGCGCCAGTTTTGATAAATATTTGCGTTTTCAATTTTCCAGCGAGTTTCGATTAATTTTCCTGCTGATTTAACCGGTAGCAAAGCGTGCGTTTGCTCCAAGAAAAGTTGGATCTTGTTTAAGATCTTGATGATTTTTTTTGTTGGTTGCAAAACTCGTTGATTTCCCATCGGGTATTTTTCAGGCGCGGGATTGAAGTGAAGGTTTTTTAAATTTTAATTAGTTTATGCGGTTTCCGCTCTTTTGTTTAACTAGTCCGGGCGATTTTAATGAATATTAAGTATCCACAGATATGCTTTATGCATGTTAATTTACGAAATACAGCAGTTTTTCAGCAGGTTTGGGACCTATGAGACTTTATCATCATGCTTATATAAAATGCACAAACTTCAGTAAAAATGTTTAATATTTTTGCAGATGATCAAGATGATGATCACCGTGGTGCTGGTCTTCACAATGTGTTGGCTGCCTTACAATCTTTACATGGTGAGTTTTATTAGAAGATTCACATAAGACCAGAATAAGCGGCCTTTAARTATTGTCAGCAACTTTACGATAGAGCGAACATCCGACCGGAAATTTGGAAAGCATTSAAAAACTCCGGGCTGCTTTGAAGCACTCGTTTTGAATACTTACACACCGTCACGTAAAAGCAGATTATTTTGCAAATATTCTTGAAGAGAAATCATGGAAAATACGCTCCATCCACAAAAGAGTTTTACTGCGAATTGCGAATAATTCCTGGTAAATTTGTTCGCTTTTCCAGCTGGAGCAATTTTGGGGTATTTCGACCGCAGCCTTTGTCCAGAAACTGGCTGATGAATACCAGAAGTGTAGAAAAAATAGGGTTTTATATAACAAAAAATTACTCAAAATTGAGACTAGTTGGCATAATTTTATTTGCTTGGTTTTATACAGGAGACATCGCTCTATTTGTTTTGTAAATGTGGATTAATTTGCAAAGTTGTACAAGTTTGGGGAATTTTTCAAGTTAAGGTATAAAGTTGCGTTTTTACTCCCATCAGGTTGGGCAGGGTTGATTTAAAAAAATATTCTCAAAACTTGCTTAGAGACTTTTTGTGGCATTTAATTTTAAAAATGTTGGCTTTTTTGGTCCTGCAACTGTCTATGTGCTCCCGGGTTTCTCAGATTTTCTGCAAAGTTTTACATTTGAGTTTTGTAACAGCAGATGTTATATCTTGAAGTTCTGCAGGTTCCTGTTTAGAAAATTCTCACTCAAAATTGGCTTTAGCCAGAAACTTCATTTTTATGCGGTTGAATAAAGAACATGTTGCTCCATTTGCCACATTCATGTGAAGTTCTTTGAAAAATCCGGCAATTTTTTGTATTTTTTGAAGTTTGAAGCATAAAATTCACATTATCAATCTCGAGGCGTTTGATTAAAAAATTCACCTACAAAAACTGGATAAAGCCAGGGATCCTTCTTTTACAGCAGCTAATGCAGAAATCATTGCTTCATTAGTTCTACAAGTTTTGATTTGTTTGCACTGTTCGCTGACTGCCTACAAGTTTTTAAATTTGAGATTTCTGAAACCTTCTGAATATGGGTCAGGTTTCCATTTGAAAAATCTTTACTCAAAAACCAGATTTCGTACGAAATTGCTTTAGACCTGGTTGAATAGAGGACTCGTTCCTCTATCAACAGAAGGAGTCTCGACTCTTTTGTCAAGTCATTTTGGACAATTTTTGAAAGTTGAAGCTCTAAATTCAAGCCCCTACTCTAATCGGTCACCCTGTGCATGCCAAGACGGTTAAACTGAAACTATACATTCAATTTTTGAGCATTTTTTAGCAGAAAAAAAGGTTTTATGTTCATCAATGGTGCACACTAGGGCTCTTTTTTCTTCTAGTTCTCTAGCGCTGCCCTGAAATCACTTTTCACTGAAATTTTCGTACAATTTCTACCAAATTTTCAATTCATTTAATAAAAATTCATCCGCAATTCCCTTTCGCCGATAAAACCAGCCAGCGAATTAGAATATTGGCAATTAATTAAATAAATGAACCATCGATGTTAAATCGCAAACTGCTGGTTGTTATAATAGCGTCCAAATCACCCTTCAAGCACTGGGAAATTTGGAAATTTTCGTACAATTGAAACGTGCAGGAAAATAGTCGTTTTTGCCAAATAATAAATATTGAAATATCTAATAGAACCTGCAATTTCCCCAAAACATCCCCAGTTCGTTATTGGGGGATATATTCAGATCTTCGGTGATATCCGTTAATGAGGAGGAATGCATTTCTCCGGATAAACGCTTTGTTAAAACGGACATTTTAGGGTGATATATGAGGCTTGTTCCATGTCGTCTGTCGACAATTTGCTGGTTTATGGCCATAATCGCAGTTAATTAAATAGGGAAATTGTTATTAACTACTGCCGCTATTTCGCTCATTTTTGCCTCGTTACTCATATTGCTTTCCCCACCAAAAATATCACAAAATTAATCTCAGCACACTAATTTCCTTGATTCTTTGCAGCGAAATCAGTTGGACTGGCGATTTATCGCCAGCACCGCTTAATACTCTAACAGACTAGAAAGGATAAATCTCCCAAAGGTCTGCATTCAAACAAATTCCCTTTCTACGGCAAATTTAAGGGCCGTATATTACCTGGTTGGGATGCCCTGGATTAGCTGTAAATTCAGTTTGATTATCGACTGTCTGCGCTCGAGTAAAACTCACCCTTGGTGAAGAAAAAGGGCAGCAGCCAGCAGCTCAAACCCTTTCCAAGCAATTGATTCAAATGAATGGCCGTCAAATTTGCAAATAATTGAAACAACCATTTAGCCAGCTGATAAAGTCCTTAGGGTAGTTTCATAACTTTATCATAAACGGTCCGTTGGCTAAGGGCTAAGGGTGCGATTAATTGAACTGTTCTGCTGTATTTGCGTGACCGGTAAATGACATCACTTTAGTCCGTTTTATTAATTAGACCGGCAGGAATTCCCTAAATGGGTTTTAGAGTGAATTGATTGAATGGAAGGCTTTAACTCCAAAGTCAATTTGTTGTGGTGGTTGCGATTTGCTCGCAAGAATTTTTGTAGCGAAATTTAAAAGAAGACACATTGATCTATTAGTGCTGTGAAGGATAGAATTTTCACAAAATTGCACAATCTTTGATCATTTTTCAAGTTGCAATTGCTATTCTTCTTGCAGGTCGGGCGGGTTTCAATTTAAAATTTGTCCGACAAAACTGAGATTAGCTAAAGGTCTCTTCACATCATTTAACAGCCAAATTTTTGCGATCTATGATTGTTGAGTTTCCAGTTTGACGCTTGAAACTACAAATTTTCTTTCATCAAGTCGGGCTGATTTGGTATTTTTAAATCTCTCAAAACTGTGAGCAGACAAGAGACTTTCTTTCCTACCATATAATAAAGACTTGTGTGCTTTGTTAATGCAGAATCTGTCGATTTGTCGGTTCTTTTTCTTGAATTTCTGCAATTTTTTTCATTTGAGACTGGAAGGTCCAATTTTTAACCCCAAGTTTGGTTTGAATTTAAAATTCCTTTCTCAAAATTGCGGGCAGCCGGAAAGTTTGTAGAAGAGTCTCAATGCGAGCGCATATTTGTACAGTTTCTGGCAATTTTTCGATTTTCCTGCGATTTTGCTGTTATCAAATGGTTCGGGTGAGGTTAAAAAATTCCCTTTTAAGACTCCGACTAGCCAAACAGCTTTTTTTCGTCCACCTTTTACAAGAAGCTTTTGCTTGATTAGTTGGGAAACCACCGATGTGTTCGCCAATTTCGGTGATTTTCTGCAACTTTCTATATTTGAGATTAGCAGTTCCAACGTGGAGCCCTTAGAGTTCAGCAGGTTTTTGCTTAAAAAATCAAAATTGAGACTAGCCAGGAAATTTGAATAGCTCATTTAATCGAGAATATGCACAAGGGTTTGTAAGCAAAATTTTACAGTTTTTGCAAAAGTTTCAAATTGAATGGGTTTGATTTAGAAAATTGTCTCTCAAACCTGAGACCTGCTGAGAGACTTTGCACCGTTTAGTACAGAAATATTAATTTGATTTGATGAAGGATTATCAGTTTGGATGCACTTTTCCCTGATTTTCTGCAAATTCTTTGATGTGAGACTTGAAGATCGACATTTCAGTTTCTGTTTAAAAAATTGTAATTCAAAATTGAGTCTTAGCAGGTAATTGCTTGCAATCTTATTTAATAGAGAACTCATAGCTCTATTATGTGTGTTTAAAAAATTCTAGAATTTTTGCAAAATTTATAAACATTAATGTATGAAACTGCCATTTTTGCGTTCCCTCAGGTGAGTGGGATTAATTCAATAATTTTCCTCCGGAGTCCGGATAAGCGACTCTCCTTTGAAGCATTTAACACAAAAAGTATTGCTTTATTAGTCTTCCAAGGATAGATTTGTTTGCTATTTTCCCCTGATTTTCTGCAGCTTTTTTTTGAGCCCTCAAAGTTTCGAAGGTTTATGTACTAAAAATCACAAAAAGATCACTCAAATTTGAGAACAACCAGTAAATTCTGTTTTGCATTTTTCGATGGAGGATTCTTAGATCTGCAATTTTTCAAGTCACCCGAATGAAATTGCATTTTTTCTTCAACAGCTTCGGCGGGTTTGATTTTAAAATTTCCTTCCCAAAGCTCAAATTACTTAAGAGGCTCTTTTCTGTTCTGTTAAATAAAGAAACCTTTCCTTTATAAATTCAATAACTGTCGCTTTGTTCGCCAGTTTTCCTGACTTCCTGCAGCTTATTTTATTGGTGATTCGTCATTCGACATTTTAGCCATAAAAGTTCGGAAGCTTGATGTTTACAAAAATGCCACGTAAAATTGAAAATAGCTCTAACATTATATTGTAACGCATTTAATAGGGAACACACAGCTCTATTCGATCTGTGAGTTTCAAGTTCCTCAAAGGATGCTACAATTTTTGGCAATTTTTCAGCTAATAGTCTCCTCCTTTTGCCGTTTAAAACCGACAAATCTCTTTTATTAGTTCTCTGACTGTCGATTTCTCCAGTTTGCCAGAAAGCAACTTTCTTTATAACTGACTAGAAGACACTTTGCTAATTTCTGCAATTTTTGGCAGCGTCTTACAATTGATCAATGAATTTTTCAGCTGTTTCAAGACCAGATTGGCATCGAACTAAAACCATACATCTACATATTATTCCACGGTTTGGCCATGTCGCACGCCTGCTACAACCCGATCATCTACTGCTACATGAACACCAGGTTCCGAGATGGGCTTTGTTTGATCTTCAAGACGCTGCCGTGTCTTAAGGGGTGCTACATGCGAAAATCGCGAGGATCGTCCGCCTTCCAGCATAACGCTTGTAAGTATTGCGCTCGGAAAATCTATGCAAATCACCTGAATTCAGCCCCTTTCGCCCCAGTTGTCTGTTCGAATCAAAAGGGCTTTAAAATGGAAGTATTTGCAGTGGATTATTCACCACCTGCAGCCCGTCTAAGGCTTAATTGGCCCCCATTGTCTCAAATTAAGTTTCAGAATTCTGAGCGATTTACAGCAAATCCCTCTTTCGCTCGGAATTTTCATATTATTCCCCCCATTGTCCATGGGTATAATAAATAGGGTGGCAACAATGCCGGCTAGATTTCCAATGAAACTCAATTCATGGATGACGACTTGCATTTATTTGCCTTAAGTTAAAGGCCTAGACAGAACAATGCCTTATGCCCGAATAGTGCACTAGAATAAGCTCATTATTCAAAACTCCTACTTGAGTGCTACAGAAGTTCACAAACTGGCCGAAGTTCTTTGAATAACTATCGGATTTATTGCAGTGAAGCCCTCAAATGCGTAACCTTCGCCCTAACTATTCCCATCCTTTGGTTAATTCCGGGCTTGATTTCTCAATAAGATTGAGTTAATATAGAGCTGGGACTTAAGTGATTTTTTTC